GTCATATCTTAGTGTCTCCATCCTCACAAAGCAACAATCCAGAGTCTGTGGCAACGAAGAAAAAATAATTCAATTCAGCGCTTCTGTTTGACCCCATGACTGATGTGTCAAGACCCAAGTGGTTTGAGATTTTCAAAAAAGGGAAATAAAATGTGGGTCAGGGTTATATTATGAGTTGCTGTGAATACATATATCACCAGAACGGCTGGCATGAATCAGAATTTGTCAGTAAATTGTCCTTCAGAGTTGCTAAAGAATTGTAAAAGGGACATATTTATTCACTTTTTCAAGATGCATAACTGCTCTCAGGCAGCCGCTTCACGTAGAACAGATTTATTGTGTGAATAAAGAGTATGTTCAAAGTTGATGTGTCATGTCAGACTCTGAGCTTGTCATCCCCCCCCCCCTCCTCCACCGGCCTGCAAGCAAACAGTGATTTCGGCACGGCAGCAACCCGGTGGAGTGACGATGATAAACTGTCCCACGGGGAGGGTGAACTTGGACTCGGAGCCTACAGGTGAGTCCTGGGGTGAAGGTGGGATTCATCAAATGCGAAAAATAGAACCAGCAGCAAGTTTTATGCAGCAGCGTTAAAGCAGAGTTGGCAAATCGGCCGACGGCGTCGACCACCACGTTTCCATACCACGAGGAATATACTTCTTTAAAGTGAGTTGGGGTGGATTAATCAAAAGCCATGCAATCCACTGGATATGCAGCAGCAGCAGGGTCAGACACATCAGCCATGCAGCAGACTATTATTAATTTAAACAATAAAATCACAAGACCTGCAGGCCTGGAGCAAACAATCTCCTCATCAGCGATAAGAGGCACATGGTCGTCATGGGTATAAGGTTGACAATGAAGGAGAAAACGTAGAACAGGAGCTCAGCAGCTTGGATGCAATTATGATGTGAAGAATAGTATGGAAAAACGTCACATAAACCCATTTTTATTGAGTTTAAGCAAGTATATCGCCTGCTGCAGACTGAATATGAAGCGTGTGTGGAGAAATTATGAATGGGACTATTTTTATGTTTTCAGTTAAGCAGATGTTAGTTATGATAATGGTCTGTGGCCAAGACAAGAGTTTGCTCAAGCCTAAGTAGACTTTTACTCTACATACTAGACCCAAGCTGGAATTGAGCAAACCATCCAAAAACAACAGCAACAATGTTAAGGGTGTACTACATGCCAAATCAATTCTACCCACAACAGCTGTTTAGCCACGTTGTATTACAATAGGAGGGGATTGTAACTCACATGCATGGCAAGCAACAACCAAAAGAAAAACCAGTGCAACCACCAGAATTTCCACAGTTGAAATCAGTGCAAATGCAACACACAGGTAAGTTTTTACCAAAAGGAGAGGGGGGAAAGACGTACCTTGATGGAGTGATGCTGAAACAAACAAACAAACTTTTGAAGAATTGTTGATGTTGTAAACTCCACTTCCGGTCGTGAAAACTCCCCTTGCCATTGAAGTAACCACCTAAAGCCGATCGTCCTGAAGCCACACTGTCGCACACTCTGCAGGTTAGTTTGCGGTTAACAGCGGTGCTGCAGAGAGTGTTGACACAGCTTAGCGGGTGAGCAGCATCACACAGTTTAAAAAAATAATAATAAACGCCACCATGATGGAAAGGGTGTGTTTGATATCGCGACCAGCAGGGTGGTCATCATGTGTGAAGCTGCCTCCATTTGTAGGATAAATTCAGAGGATAAGTTGAAACCTGAAACAGACTGGAATGATCAGTCGAGCATGAATGTCCATTCTTGACTTTGGGATTAGTTTAATTAAATTTAAATTTAACTTGAAGTATTTTAAAAAGCCCTACATATAACTAAAAGTATAAAATAATATCTCTCCATTCTAAACTAACTTTAACTTTCCCCTGAATTTAACTGGACCATAAGTGTCTCTGTGTTGATTGATTAATTGATTTTGTCAAATGTTATTTATATGTTTCATGGATTTAGGCTGTACGTGCCACGGAGCATATAGTGACACAATAATATCATACAATGTGTTTAAACAAAGACTAACAATTTAAAAGACAGAGAATACTTTGTTGCGTGCCACATACAAGGCAACAATATGCGTGTTTCCAAAGAAAAGAAAGTGATTGACATTGTTTTGTCCATCCCTTAGGGTCCGCAATCCGCTCCCATCAATTGTTGCTGTCATGTGTGTTTTGTATTAAATTTTGTTCTTGAAAGTTCAATAAGGTATTATATTAAAAAAAACATGATTGACAAGTAAACAGAAGAGAGAAGTAGAACGTATGAAAACTAAAACAGTCGTCAGTCCTCACTGTCCACGCTCTGTCTAAATAATTAGATTATGCAAAACATGCCTGTTTTCTCATGTCTCCTTACCAAAACAAAGCATTTTAAGAAATCTATAATAGGCAATATACTGTTATTTTTCTCACAGCATGACATAAAGGACATAAAGGTATATTATTAAAAGTAAATTAAACTATTAAATGTCTTGTCTATCTACAAAGCACTATAACACAGAGGCAAAGGTCACATGTGTGCATGCACTTAGGTTGCTGTTGTCCATGCTTTCCCGCCATGTGACATTCAGAAAATGTAGTATAGCTATTGAATCTTTTATGAAAGACGAATGGCCTGTTTGAAACAGCACAGTCATTCCACAGAGCTTCACGGTGGGGGGGGGGGGATATCCTTAATCAAAAGGGAGATGTTTTTGTCTAATCTAGGCCAGAAAGTTAAAGAAACCCTGCAGCGTGGAGCGTGTTTTCAGCTGTCACGTGTGTGTAACTGCAGAGTGCCTTCGGTCTCACAAGTGGAAATTTGGGGGAAGCAGGACATCTGAGGACACTGAACCAAATGTCTTTTGAGAAATGCTCCACTAAAATCAATATTAGTTCTGTCACCTTCGAATGAGAATGTCCTGAATGTGATATCTGTGCAGAGTTTGCTTGTCCTCTCGTGGGGTTTCTTCCTCCCACAGGCCGTACACACTTCAGCAACCATAGAGATAGCATAGGAGTGGAGGGACGTTAAACTGTTTTCCGTAGTCATTTGACACATATACAAAAGAAAATGGCGATTGCTGTTCGGCTGGTTGTTATCAGTGAGGGGCAAGTAAAGTGAAACGAATCAATCGTCCTTTCTGCAAATGCTATTTCGTTCATTTTCTCTAGCATTTAGCATTAGCAAGCTAGCTAACTAGCCAGCTGTCTGCTAGTTCGCTAACGATGATGTTAATTCCGCCATGCTTTAATGCTACACTAGCTACAGAAAACGAGCCGGACAAAGTTGTCGCTCATCTGGCGAAAGCAATGTGCTTTCCTACGCTGTGACAGGGAGTGTGTGGACGAAGCAGTAAGTAATTTTACTCGTTCACTCTGGCTCTCTACGCTCCGTAACGTCACTACTCCACTGCTTGTTTTAGCCGTTACTGCAAAAACTCACCTGGGTGAGTCCGCGACTTACCGCAAGTCGGTTTGGTTTATACGGAAGTTAGCCCACTACAACAGTCCCAATGGCAACGGTGAACTTAAAAATGGCCGCCGCTCTGTTGATTTGAATGGGACTGTCCGTTCTACTCCTATTTGTTTGTGAGCAACTCTCAGTTGTCTGTATGTCAGTTTAAGTGTGCTTGTCTGTCCGTTGGTCCTGTAATAGACTGGTGACCTGTTCTGGGAATCACCCCAGCACCCTCTCGCTCCATGGACAGAAATGTGTGAGTACAGATGGATGTTTAGAATTGGTGGAATATACAACGGCTTTAGCTGCACAGTGGCAAACTAAGAGGAGATTGCTTCAAATAACTTTCACCTGTGCATCAATACTCAACACCTATCGTCAGTAGTGGTGGAGTGAATATCCAGGCTTTGACTCTCTGTAAATATCAACAAAACTCTTTTGTTATTAGTTAAATAAAACACTGTTATGTAATTATGTTGAGAAAAATGTGATTTGTAGAAAAAGTGTGTTTATTCATTGGCTAATTAAATTTAGATTAGGAGTTTATAAATGATTAAACAGCGGTAGACTCAAGTCTGTTGGACCACAGAAAAGAAAACAGCCTGTAACCTCAGCCGCACTGCAGTGATCACCGAATTAACTGAAGAATAAAGCAGAAGCGAAAGAGTTGTTTTTATGCAGTTATTTGAGTTTTTTTAAGGCTCCTTCACAAAAAAAAGCAGATATTCAGATAACAACCGGAAATCAAACGGGCTGCAGCTGGCATACAGTATCTGTAATTGAATACATTTATGCAGCAGACATCTGCAGAGTGTATTTCTCAAAAATATTTTTCTGAAAATCGAGAAACTACAAAACCGTTTACATCCTCGATTCAAAGAACTGCTCATTCATCCTGTAAAAGCTGCTTTGAAATTGTTTGTTTTTGCCATTTTGAAACTGAAAAGTATCACATGTTGTTTGCAGAGATGACGCAGACGACATGGAGCTTGACTGTGAGAGGGGGAAAAAAGCCCCTGATGATACTCAACATGGTGGGAATGAATTGGTCACAGGAGGACTGATTTAGTCACAAAAAAGAGGGAGGCGGGAAAAAAATCCACAGTTAGAAGGGTGAAATTTTGTTTTATTGTAGAGCCCAAGGAGGGAGGGGGGGGGGGGGGGGATTAATGTGCTGTGGCCTCATGATTCATGAGTGCCTATTTGGTTTGTTTCTCTGAAAATGAATTTATGGTTCAATTGTATCAGACGTACAGATTGCAGGTTTCAATATGCAGTCAGGCTGGACTGAGAGGAGGGATTGTTGTATAGTACATTATAGTTTGTGTTATTTCGCTATAAAAAAAGTGTATCAATAGTGCCCCCACATGGAAAGGCCTGAAAGATACTAATGGCTTTCTGTAAGCCACCATTAAAAACACAGCTTTTAGTGCGTGATTTCAAACACCATTGATATGAGACTTGATGCAGATGTTTAAGTTGTCAACATAACATTTTATAGATTATTTTTGCATTAAAAATAAAGGAAACAGACCACGAAACATATTAGAACAGCTTTATGATTCATTTCAAAATCTTAGCAGCAGGCAATGTGTACAACTTTGCATTGTGAAAGTAAAGCTTTGCAGAAAACCACTACACAACTAAGCATATTTACTTTGAAAATAAAGATAAAGTTTTTTTTAAGTATCTTTTGACCAGCTCCATCACAAGTCTTTACTGTCTTGACTCGGTGCGGTCTCGTCCACCAGTGGTGACGTTGTTTTACCAAAAACTTCACCGCAGACACGGGTTTAAATTCAGCACAGTCTGCACCCGTAAAATACTGTCGACATCCGTTGGTCTCAAAAACTGATTATTTTTTTTTTTTTGCAGGGAAGCCAAATAGGTCAAACATGTCACAGCGATGAACAAACGCTCCTCTTGAGGAGCTCATCTGGTGCTCCTCCTCAGGCTCTCCACGGTCTGCAGGAAGGACCGCAGGGCTTGGTCCTCCTCCAGGGTGGAGCAGTCCTCCTCCTCCTCCTCGATGATGCCACACTGCACGCAGCGGAGGCGGGGCTCGCGTTGTCCGGCCCTGCAGACACAAGCTGTGGCCAGGGACTGGGGGAACTCCTCCATCACCAAAGGCAGCAGATGGGCAGGGAGCGTGTCCATGCTGGTCGCCATGGTGAACGGTGGCCCAAATGAGAGGATGACGTGGGGTGCTGACGGCGAGGCTCGAGAGTAGAAGCGTCGTGGGATCTTAAAGCCTCTTTGTTAACAAATTCTGGTGCATCTGATCAGCCGTTTCCACAAGTTTTTGGTGGAGATGATTAAGAAGAAAAAAAATAAATAAATTCTTCAAATATGAAATACTGAAATGAGTGAGAGCCGTTTAATATTCAGTCCTGGAGGTTCTGCTTGATGAGATGATTTGAGAGATCCTGTTGCTGCTGCCCTTCGCTCTGGAGCTCTGCTGTGAAATCACAGTGAGTGAGTGCGAGTCAGAGTGTGCCGTGGACTCTTTATATACATCTCTACGCACTCCCACTCGCTTCTTCCTTTGGGCATCCCTCCACACACACGCACACAAACAGCTCCACTCCCCCCTCCTACATTCTCAGCGATGACACACTTCCGCAGCTTCCATACCGGTGCACCGGAATCATCTCCCAGAAAGTGTTGGCATGGGAACCGGACGGCGAGGTTGGGGAGGGAAGAGGCAGAGAAGGAGAAGGCAACACATTTGCATGGACTGTGAAGATGATGAATAATGGCACAAACCACTCGAGGGAGTTATATGAGCTGATCAGTAACAGTGTGTGTGTGTGTGTGTGTATGTATGAGGCGTTTGTATTACACACAAGACTGTCGATTTTGGAGTTTGATGGTATCAGACAGAGATACACATTAGGAGATTTACAGATACTTTTACATGCGATGTCTGACTCCAAACTCCCATATTTCCTCGTTAGGAAATAAAAACCTGAACTGTTCTCTTATCAGGCCTTTCAATAACTTCAGCATAATATCGGCTAATACGTGTTCCCTTCCAGGCTCTAAATCTTGCAGCCATGTGATTCAAAACGCAGGTGACAAGAAAGGTGAAACCGAGCAAAAGAAGACAGCAGACAGATGACTGAAGTTATCCCAATTTATTGAGAACAAAATGCAATTCAGTTTTCCAGGTGTTCTGGTTTGGAACTTTAAGGACCTCAGGATAGAAAATCGTGCCAAACAATGACAACGGTTTTAAAGAAGGAAATCTATTTAGTTTGTGAACAAAGCGCACATTTTCATATTCCAGCAAAGCATCTCCGTCTGTGCTGGTCATTCATCTGCAGAGCCTCCTCCTCCTAAATGTTCCACAGATGAAATGTGGTTTGGTGAAATTAAACATGTGGACCCGTCACCGCCCCGTCAACGCCCCCGAGAAAAAGTTAAGATGAAAAAAGCAAACAAGAGACCTTCAATGATTTTGGTGCTCAAGAAATAAAAAAGGAAGCTATTAATGTCACAAAAACACCCATTTCCGCCTTTTAAATCTAATTAAGTATTGTTCAAGTGCTGCAGAAAGTGTTAACAGTAAGTAAATACCACCTGCAGTGTTCTACTGAACAGCTTTAAGCGAGTAAACAGAGATGAAAGACGACCCACATACACGGAGGCCTCCACCCTCACGTCCAAATGATCTGCACCTCTCCCCTCACCATCCAGGCTTCATTTTTAAAAATCACGTTTCGCAGACAGACGGGTGGTTTGGGGAATTCTTTTTAGTTTCCACATTAGCGTTCCCTTCGTTAAAGCCGATCACTCCGATGAGGAGCGCCACTTTGTTCGGTATTTTTCACAGAACCGCTCGGATTGAACACACGTGACGGCGGCATGACTGGGAGTTATCGGGAGGGGAGGGAGACCGAGGCGTTGCCCAGAAACTGTCACATTTTCTCTTTCTACGGTCCCGCCAAGGCGGCAAGTCGGGGCGAGTCGTTAACACAGTTGGTCCCCTCCGTCCCCGGCCGCCAAGCAGATCCGTCTAACCCTGCTTCTGCTTCTTAAGGTAGTGAGCTCGCTGAGACAAACACACCCCCATCACATAGCTGTTGAGGATCCTGGCAGGGAGCAGAGCAGTAGTCACCCAGCCCTGTGGAGGGAAATAACATGGTCAGCCGGTGGCATTTAAACAACAGATTAACATTCATTATTCATTTCCGAACCACAGAAGCAACAATTGTGGCAAACGAATGAAAATGCAGCCAATTGTGTTGTTTTAATGCCGATGGTGGTATTCGTTGGCACAGGCCTCTCCGGTAGCATCTCACAGAGAAATTTAATTTTGGTGAACTTATCTTTCTGGACAAATTCAACAAATACGCAATTATTTTTTCATATATTGCGCATTAGTAGGCAGTAGAAAAAAAAAAAAGAAGCAATAAAATCTTTTCTGCTTTAGCCGTAATGAAGGTTAACTCGGCTTTAACTCAAACAGTACGGCAGTGCTTCCTTCTAAAGAAACCTTGGGTTTTTAATCTTCTTCAGTAAGTAGCAGCTTTATGAAGCATCATAAATGGTTCTTTCATTGACTTACCATATTCACTTAATCACCAATACAGATTTCCTCTTAATTGCATTATTTAAATTTCTCACACTGATTTACTTTAAAGCTGGAATGTGTTATTTTTTTCGAAATTGATATATAATTAAATCCATATAATGAATTATGGACATGGTTGAGAGGGGTAATACACTCTTTGGAGCGTGCTTCACTTTCATATCCATTTAGTTTTATTACCGGCGGCGACAGTGCGGAGCTCGTGTGGTTTTGACCTTGTGACGCTGTGTGTGTGGTTCATGGCACGATGTGGTGCTGGAGCTACTGCAGGAGTGGTGTTCAGTACTTTGTGCCAGGTGTTTGTATTTCACTTCGTCTGTCTGTGGACCCATTTTGACAGCAACAGTGTCACAACCGTGTAAGATGCTGCCACGAAACTTTACAGGCGTGGAGTTGATTATTATGATTATTATTTAGGTTTCCAGATTGCAGCAGTCTAAATTACATCCTGGTGAATTGCGGATTATAACTGGGGAAGGCAGAGCTGTACTGCACAAGTGAAGAGAGAGGGATTATCAGATAATCAGAGCAGACGCTACAAGCTTGTGGTTTAGCTAAATATAAAGGCCGGTGACAGAGTTTACCTCATCGGCAACCAAACGCACCGAATCAACAGAGGCTGGCTTATGTCGAACGATTTATTGACCCCATGCGCACTGTAACGATCGGTGCCGTTATTGATGTGCATATCAAGAAACTTGATCATTAATATGCAGGTCACACACAGTGAAGACTATGAAGAAATGAAGACGCCTGAACTAACCGAACTCAACTTGTGTTTCCGTCTCACTTCTGATGCTCGTGTCTCCGCAGAGTAATCGCAGTATCAGGATGCACACAGTACTAGACGGTAGTAGAGGAGCATCCCACTGCATCATTTCAGAGGATGTTTACCTCATGATAGATGCTTTTTAGCAACCGTTGACACATTAAATCAGTGAGTAGAGATGAGCAGGTAGGAAGCTCTTTATGTGTAAAGTGAACTTGGAGCCACTTCCCTCCTGTTGCCATGACAGACCTCGACTATTACTCCGTTACTGTGGAGCAGTCGTGTTAAAATGAAACATTTGACAGCCATTCAGATTGTCAGATTTCAAGTGCTCATGCTCATTATAGAGAGAGGGATTGCAATGTGGACTGCAATGTGCGGAGGAAGATCTGGCGTCTTGCTTTGTGTGAAATTCAAAAGGAAGCCCGAAGTGACGATCTGGGAGAAGGAAAGTACACGCCGTGTCTTTATATCAGACACTTTGTTTTGTGTTCCTAGCATTACATACCAAGACTTACCAAAATGGCATGGGGCAGGTAGCCATTGGTCTGGGTCTGCAGCCCCACGGTATGGAGCTCGGCTGAAACGTACCGCTCGGGACTGGGCTTGTCCAGCGTGGGCCGCCGGATTTTACTCAGCTTGGTTGCGACAAAAAATGGCAGAACACTCTGGTGGGGGGGGAGGAAAAGACACAGAAATGAACAATGTGTCTAGTTTCATATCTTGGTTAAGTGTTTTTCTGAAGCCTTAAGGACGTTCCTACAAATTGCATTTCTAACCATCATTATGAAGCAGCAGACTTCATTAAAAGGCCCGTGTGCTCACAGCAGATGAACGAAGGTTGGTTCATTTACCTGGATGATGATGCCGTTGTTTTTGTATTCAGCTTGCAGTCCTCGAGAAAAGAAGTCCACAAATGCCTACATTGAATAAAGGCAGGTCGTTAAGGCCAAAACTACAGTTCCAGTAAAAGAAGAAAGGAGGAGAAAAAAAAAAAAAAAAAGGAAAAAAGGATGGCACCGTTGGATTTTTATTCCCAAAAGAACAAGAACACTTCGAGTACAAAATCTGCAGTCCTAAAGCGAGCTAAGAGGAAATACGTGCACAAAGAGTTCAAGTACAATGGGCTTTCGCAATGTTAACGGCAGGTGTAATGAACTGAGACGATCGTTAAATTAGGCATTAAAATGAAGATTCATCCTTGATGGATTTTGGATGCACTTTTTAAACTTGCATTGCTGACACCTGAGTTTAGAAGATAGAAAATGACCCGGTGTTAAGACACCAGCAAATTAATCAGTTAAAGTGTGTGTGTTTTTTTTTTAGGCTAACAAAACACACACGAGACAGCCATATGCTCCTGTAAACATTTTTAATTGGTACACTACCTCGGGACCCGAGTTAGTCACCCACTTTATTATTTTTGCAACAATTAAAACAGCAAATATGAAAAAGGACGATCCCTAACTTCATCCATATATATACACACACACATACATACATACATACATACATACACACACACACACACACACACACATATATACATACACACATATATACATACACACACACATACACATACACACACACATACATACACACACACACACATATATACATACATATATACATACATACATACACATACACACACACACACACATACACATATATATACATACACACACACATACATATACACACACACACACACACATATACACACACACACACAATGTGTTGGATTTTACAGTAGAATGAAGTATTTAGACTATTGTATTGGGGAGAGAGGTCTAAGAGAAATCTACCCGGACTCCCCGCCCGTTATTGAATCGTCTTTGACATTAAACATCAACATACACACCACCCAGCAATCATCCGCGCATATCTGTATATGATGAAAATGCCAAAGAAAATAAGAAATTATTAATTTATAGGTTATGTAGAATAAGCATCACTTTGTTATAGATTGCTGCTGACTTTAATTGAAAACCATGACGGAGATGGGTTTGCCTTTTTCAGGGTTTATTACGTTAAATTCGACTGAATTCTTCTTTGTTGGAGGGCCTGCTATTTCTACCGCAGTATCGGCACGAGGTAGCGGACTTGCTCTGGCTGAAGGGAAGGCTGGAGCACATTCATTTCTCCTCCATTGTTGTTCAGAACTTGCAGCCTACATGTAGGATCTAAAGGTTGGTCTTTGAGGGTACTTGACCCCGCCCCCTCCTTCACTACGATTGGACGGCTGGGTAAACGAGTGACACGTGTGACAGTGAAACGTTGAACGTGTTTCAGCTCTCGGTGACCAGAAAAAAAAAAAAAAAACAACCCAAAAATGTGCAGCGCTCCCATTGCAAAGAATTCAAAAAGGAAAGGAACGTGAGCGTAGCGGTTGCTTGTAAACGAATGCTGTTGGCTCGTCAATAATGCAGGCGTTGCAACTGCCCCAGTCGATTCGTTTAACCTCAATGTGTATTATGAGACGGAACGATGCACCACATGAGAACAAAGACGGATTTGTCCTCACGGACCACAGTATATTGTGTAGTGTAAACCGTTTATGATGCCGGGATGCGTTTATAGACAACACGTCAGCTAAAAGGTCATAAACGGTGTACTGCAATTACCTTGGAGGCGGAGTAGACGGTGAGCAGAGGAACAGGGTACATCCCGCTGGCAGACGAGATGTTGAGGATGGCCCCCTTCTTCCTGGAAACGGGAATATAAGCAGAAGCTCATTTATACTGACAGGCAACGCAAAGCACGAGAGAAGGGGGGGGGGGGGCAACAACCACTGAAAACCAATCCCAGTAGAGGACACGGCACTTTGTGTGCTTGCAAGCTGGAAACTGCTCTCGTCGTACATCAAAGCAGAGCAGGTAGATATTGATAAGATCAAAAGGACCGGTTAGATCCATATTCAAACATTTGGCTTTCATACAATATTGAATCTAAACTAGAGGCAGATGATGTTTGGAGGAATAAAATCATTTCGTACGTGTAATGACGGCGTAGCAAGCAAAGGTTTCACTCAGCCACAACAAAACTGATCAGAAAATTGTATAAATCAGCTGTAATGCAGATAGATAGATAGATAGATAGATAAAGATTTATACGTTCCATCACATCACAATAACTTAAATGCAGAGTATACAGTATGTATTCTCTATCGTACTATCCTATAGTCAAATATAGTTTTCATGCACGCATATTTCAGTGAAGTTCTGATATTACATGTTGATAAGTGAGTTTTAGAAGGTGTTGGTATATATTTTTTTTTTTGTTTTTAATCTCTGGACAGAGCAAGGCTAACGGTTTCCCCCGTTTCCAGTCTTTGTGCTAAGCTAAGCCTCCAGCTTCATCTTTAACAAACAGATATGAGAGCAGTATCAATTTTCTCCCCTTTCTCTTGGCACAAAATAAATAAGCATATTTCCCAAAACTCCTTTACAACAGTTATGCAGTGCATTACATACAACTATTCATGTTTAAAATGAGGAATGATTTAAACACAACCCTATAAAACAATGACATAATAAGACGGCATCATTTTCAACTCAAAGCACTATGTGCACCTTTGTGCTTGTGTTAATTATTAGAGATTCACAGACATCAGTAATGCCTCAACAGATCAATTAGTGCTAATGTCAGACAAACTTACCTCTCAACCATTCGAGGTAATACGAGACGTGTCATCTGCAGAAACAACAGAGAGCGAGAGAGAGAGAGGGGGGGGGGGTGACAAGTGTGAGAGCATAGACAGACAACAAAAAAGTTAATTAGCGTGTGTGTGGGTGTGTGTGGGTGGAGGTGTGTGTGGGTTGCGTGTGGAGAGGTGGTCGAGGAGGGAAGAGAAACAAAGAGAGGAAATGATAATGATAGCACAGGGAGCCGTTTGAAGAAATATTGAATGACATAAATTAAGTGTAAAGAGAGTGGGTGGACTTTTAGCTGTTGCTCTGGGAACATGGAGAAGAGACCTACTACGCTTTATGTCCTCCTGCTGCTTATGTGTGTCTTTATTATTGCTATCATCTGTGGGACTACCTGTCAGCGGATCTCAAGCCACCTCAGCCACTTGAATCCACTTAATTACTCGAAGGCAACACAGACGTCACAGCGAGACGTTCGACAAACAGGGAGCCCGCGTTGTGCCGACTGAAGCACTTACTTAATGATCCCCGCTAGCTATCTCCAAGTTAACTATACCAGAGTATTTCAGCACATTTTCACACCCTTCAAACTCAGCCACTTTCAATTATTTTGAACTTTAAGGAAAGAAAGTGTCGTGCCACATAGACACGAGGCTGTATGTGCCTCTAGTAAATTTGATTTCCTCTTAGGCAGCCTTTTTAAAGTCATAACACTCACCTGGCACACGGACGTGATGTTAATGTTGACTATGGTGTCGATGAACTGCAACAAGAAGATCAGGAGCATTACTACAACTTGGGGTGAGGCTGCGTTTGTGCATCATTTTTCGGAAATATAAACAATTCTGTTCAAGAATCAACTGCAGGTGTTAAAGATGGTGTAAATGATTTTACATCCGGGCACCAAACACACAGAGAGACTTCTCTCACATGTGATCTTTCTAATTATGTATTTTTACGGTCTCATACTTCAACAGTTTTACAACAAAATTAGTCTTTTTTTTTTAACGTGTAAAATGATCTTTTAAATTGACAAACACCATATGTCTAATTCATGGCAGAATTCTAACGGATTCAGAATTTTCCTCTCGTGTGCTACAGCTACACTTCACTTCTGCACGTCCTGCACTTTTGCCTCTTGTGGCCTCTTTTCAGCAGCAGGCTCGCTTCAGGTAAGCAACGTCCTGCAACTACAATAAGTCGGCACGTTTCCAGTCACACCAGATAAAATAAAAGTACAATATTGAATCAGTTTATTCAACAAAAGGCAGAAAACTGATGTGAGCATATAAAGTATACTGGAGCTAGATTTGACCCAAATAAGATGTGCTTAAAAAGACATAATGGGATGTACTTAATCACCGCTTCTATTCCTTTCAATCTTGTAAAATGTTTTCCAGACATTTCATCCGTCAATATAATAATTGATACCTTCACGGCGGATAGCTTTGACTTACCGTGTCGAGATTGGGGACGTTGAGGAAGAAGTCGGGGTAAGAATATGATGTTCCAACATTGTTCACTGTTAACAAGAGGAAACAAGAACAGTGACATTGAATGTCAAACTGATGGATGAGAAGGAAAGGGCCATTTCTGTGATGTGGAGTTCAGCATGTTATTCCTCTTTCCAATCTTAGGAGGGCAGCAAAGGGCTGAAGAATTAACCTTTCTGATTACATTCAACATTTCACTGCATCCCTGATGTCTGCAGGTCTTAATTCAGATTGAATGTGTAATCTCCTACGACCGTCTAATTCACTTCTATGAACAGTGAGACGAGCGAGTCTTACCCAATACTCCGATCTCCAGTCCCGCAAGTCCATCTTCAATCCTAGAGTAGATATCTACAGAGCTGAAGTCTGCTGCGATCGTTTTGGTCTCCACGCCGCATTTGCTCGCTGAAAGCACGAAACACGTCAATTTTGCACATGTGTAAAGCAAAGAAAGACCGCAAACATCAGCGCTCACTTGCATAGAGCGCTTATGAATGACCACATCGCTGGCAAACAGTCACTTTGGAAAAGGGAAGACCAGAGGAGAGGAGAGAGAGAGGGGGGGAAGAAGAAAAAAAATTAAACCCTGAAATAATCCTTCATCAACGAGGATATCCCTCCCTGAAGAGGCAGCTTTCATTTAATTGGACAGATTCACTTTCAGCTCCAGCAGGAGGCTTTACTGCCTCACAGCGAAGGAGCATAACAGTCCCGCTGAATCTCCACTCAATGAGGGGATCGCTCGTGAAAAAACACGCAATTCAATGCAATATCATTTCATCGGAGTCATTTAGCCCCGTTGGACCGTCGCACAGTGCAACATGGATGCAACATTTGGGGTTGAGGATGAATGAGGCTGAGTGGCAGCATGGATCAGTGAGACTGAACGCCACTCCAGCAGCTGTCATACCGAACACATGCACTACATTAGTCATGTGCCTCCCGACCAAAAGTCCTGTTGATTTCCCTCCACTGTGAGATGTGGGATTAGTTAGACTGATGGATTAAATGGAGTAATATTGAGCTACATATTGTATTTCAACGTGATGAATATACGCTACGCGTCAAAAAAAAAAAAAAAACACCCATCCTCACTCTCGATTGATTCTGGCAGCATTTTTTTGTCTGCATTTACACCGCATGTTTAACAAACTAATGAATTAAGTTACTATTCATAGAACTCACAGATCGCCTTGGACATGTCGTCCAGCTTCTCCTGAGAGCGGCTGATCAGCACGATGGAGAAGCCTCTGCGGGCGAGCTGCAAACAGGAAATAAACATGTCAACAAAGGCGACACGCGTGTGCAATTCACAGTGGAAGTGGCATTAAACAAAAGGTGTGTGTGTATGGAACATCAAATCATTCATAAAGGAGAGTTCAGTCACTGTATTCGTAGTTCTGTAAACTTGTTTTCCGTATTTGATTTGCACCTGTAGTTTCTATTCAAAATGTCAAACGGGTTTCTTGTTTGCGTCTTGAAGATTTAGGCTTCTGCCTGTAAACTGCAGGTTTGTGCATTCACCTCCACTTCAAGCCTAATTCTACGAGAAGCACGGCGAATAACTGAGCACGAGCATCCGTCTGCCCGGTGACGTCACAAAAGGAGGTCGCCGGTGAGGGAGAGAGGGTTGGTCTTCAGGTTTTGACCAATCAATGACGACCCCCGTCAATCGGTCACCAAAACAAAATGCATCACGTGCAAAACCTTTATTTTAAAGTAACCGTTTAGAAACAGGTTTTCATGTAGGGCTGTCCTAGTCAGGTACTAAATGATTACTTAGAGATTAAAGGGGACATATAATGCTCATTTTCAGGTACAAACTTGTATTTTTGGGTTTCTACTAGAACATGTTTACATGCTTTAATGTTTTAAAAAAAAACTTTTCTCATACGGGTCACATAAATATATCTGTATTCTTCCTCTGTCTGGAACGCTCCGTTTTATCGCCTGTCTCTTTAAGCCGCCACTCCCAAAAAAACAAAAAACAAGTCTGCTCCGATTGGCTTGCGAGAAAAATATGGCGTACTTTTGTAAAGGTGTTTCTCAGGCTGTGGTTAGAGCGGTGTATGTTAATGAGCCGGCATGTGACAGAGGAAAGGGAGACAAATCTGACAGAGTTGTCGTATTTCACATTTTTTGTGTGTTGATAGCTGCTCCAGACACCCAAATGTATGTGCACAAAATGCACAAACTTGAGAAGAATAGTTTACAGAATCCTAAATATTCAGCCTCACGTAAGAAAACCTGCAAGAAATGAACCCGAATATACAAACCTTCAAAACAGACAAATTCACAGCGACAAAACTGCATTTAAACACACCCACTCCTATGTTTTTGAGCACAACTTTAGGAAGTATTTAATATTCCGTATGTGTTTGACAGAAACAGAGAAACTCCGCCCCTGTGGGTGAGGTAAGGAGGAATCTTACCTCCTCAGCATAAGCTTTCCCAATCCCATCTGTGGCTCCTGTCACAACTAAAATGGAGAAGGAGGACAGACAGAGACGGAGTTAGCAGGACAAATGATGTAATGTTCTGAATCAAAACTAAAAACGCAGACGTCAATAAGGCAACATGTGCTTCTCTATGTTCACTGGAGGATTCCCGCTACAAGAACAAGCTATAGATTCTTAACATGAACATAAAACTGTCCGGCTCGTTATTACGCTTTCTTTAAATACGTTTATACTTCTACAGTCGCCAAAGTAAGTGGACACCCAAACATCACACCAGTAAGTGATTGTTGGACACCTCATCAAACCAACGGGCATTAATCTGCTGCTGAAACAGCCTCCATGTAAGAACAGACAAAGAGCGCCACCCACAGGAACTTCAGCACCACAGGAATCCAATGATTCAAAGACGTCAGAGTTATGGACTGGTCGACTGACCAAGTGATCCCTGGAAAGTGCAGCGCAAGGACAAAAAGAAAAACACAGAATGACTTTGGAGGGTGAAGGGCTGAACGTCGGTGTGGATAGATGAGTATACACGGAGAGCAGCCGAGGTGAATAAGGAGGACAAACAGGGGGGGGGGGGGGGGGGCGAGGTCCTCTCTGTCATCAGTGGCAGTCCAGCGAACGGATGCCCTGGAATTGACTGGCACAAACAGCGGCGGCGGCCTATTCTTAGCAATCCCCATCTTTAGGAAGGAGCTGTTCATCACACCGCTGGCTAAATATAACGAAGCGGACAAGAGGAGAGCGAGGACGTGACCCCGTTTAACCTGTAAAGCTCTACTTAAAGAGATTCTTCTTCTCTTCGTGTCAACTTGCGTGTTCTTCTTCTTCTTCGTCTTTTTAAGTGTCAACAAGTAATTATTAATAGTATTCTGTTCCAATTATGTTTTCCTGCATTGTGGTGTGGACCTACTTGTGGGAGTGAAGTGCACTTCAGATGGGAATATTGGTGGTTCGGTTCAAACCACATCAGTCTGCTTGGGTGCACTGAGCAGCGGGGGCCTCTAGGGGCCTCTAGCGGGGCTCTCAGACTCCTACGCTCATTAAATACTACACGCGAGGAGCACCGACATAAGTGCAGTATACAAAACAAACTTAGTCTCAGGAAACTAAAGAGAAAGACACTATAGAAAGAATCATTATAGAACTCAGTGGCAGAAGTAGAGACAGCAAACTGCACAATGTGCATCCTAAATATTTTTTTGAATATTTGTTGCATTAGTGATGTATATATAAATATTGCAGTCAGTTCTGGAACCAGACACCGCTGCTCGTGTGTCGGTGCGTTTATTAGAGCATATTCTGTCAACGATGAATTGAGGGCGGACGTGATGACGATTGAGATTCAAATTCTGTATCAAATTAAACACAAACCATAAAGAATTTTATTGGTCATAAAATCTTTCATGACTGCATAGTACAAGGTGGCTGAAATGGCAACCGTGGTTTCAGTTTGGCCAATCAAATGCTGACGCCTTTAAGAGTTAGCGGGGTCTGCTGCCGGGCACATAAAATCTATGGACTTATTGTTTCACACTAAAGCTTCGTTCATTTAGTTTTTATATGCTGGGACAAAGATCATCTTCTACGGAGGCCAGAATAACACTAGCACTTGGTGTTTTTAGTCTCACTTGTTATAATATATAAACTGCGGATGAAACAACTTTTTGCCACCTTAACTCTGGCTATCTGCCAACACAGAGCACCAAACAGCCTTGATAACAAACCTGGCGTATTGGCTTAGTGCAATCCTAATTAAATATGTATTTTTTTTTTATTTGAGAATTATATGGCAGAGCAGTACACACACCTGATCACTGCTGCTTTCATGAGATGTTTGTGCTTTTGCCGCAAACGTCCAATACAAATATCCCCACAGAGAGCTTTGTTCTTCTGAGGATACTCTTAATTCCTTCCCTTACTCATCTGTGGATCTACCCTTCGCCGTGCCTGTGTCCCCTTTCCGTGTGATCTTCCTCAGTACAGATGATGCCGAGCATCCTCTGGGGCTGCGGCAGAGCCAAGCGGGGGGGGGGGGTGACAAACACGAAACACGGGGGATCCTGGGGGCAACTAAAAATAGCACAGAGGAGAAGGGGGGGCGATGTCGGGTCTGCAGGCACGATGATGAGGGAAACATGGGCCGGGGTTATTTTTAGATGTATCAGAATGTTTTGCAGTCGGAACAGAAAAAACAAACAAAAAAAAAAGCTTTTACAGCCGAGTGCATGTTCCCTTCAGTCAAATAAAACCAGGTCTATTTCAAGAAGCGCTGTCTTCTGCTGAATGTAGGTTAGACTGGCTAGCTGCTCTAATGGTGGCGCTACTGCTGCGTGCCACCGTTTTTGGGGGCGTTGGGTTTGATAGCCGGTAACATTCCATTGTTGAAAATAATTGAAGGACTGGGAATAAATCGTCTCTTTCTGCGCCCAAAATAAAAGCCAGAGTCCTGCCCTACTTCCAGACTCGCTTTCTCTTTCCGCTGGAGGAGGAGGAGGAGGGGGGGGCTTTCATGCAGAAATAATTGGTGGCGGACATGTTTAGTTAATTCTACCAATGACTACAATTAGGGATGTTTAGGGGATATTTTGTGACACCGACAGGCTTTTGTTCATTAAGCAATTTGAGTTTTAATACACACTTTAAATGAAGGAACCTAGCGCTAAACGAGTTTTGCACTAATGCACATGTTAGAAGATTTAAAACGGACTTTACATTTAAATCAGACAGCATGCGGACATATGACGTCGTTATAAAAGCGCTGAGATGATTGTGAGCAATAGAGACTTGGCTGTGACTTTCTTTTTAGATACTAAAAATGATTAAAGCATTGTCTCAGATAGCAAGACGCCATTCATTCATTCATTCGGATAGCATTACAATGGTGCCCTGTTATACTGCCACAGACTCTCTCTCTCACACACACACACACACACACACACACACACACACACACACACACAC